CATTTGTAGGATCATTTGCTATTTTTCAACTTTTAAGCACCTTTTGACTACATGTGCTTAAATAACCAGCAAAGGCCTAGTTAACTACCAGGATTCTCAGCAGCTAACAAGCAGTAAAAATGGCTCCAAACTTGACAAAAGACATGGAAGAACTTAAACTATCATTGAATGTCGTGTCAGAAGAACTGAGCAAGGTGGTGAAGCAACATACAAGCCTGATGCGTTTGATTGGAGAATTTCAGCAACTGAAAGCAATTATTAAAGAAAAGGATGAGAAGATTGAAGAGCTGGAAAAAAGAGTGGAGGACCTGGAACAGTACACAAGAAAGGAGGATGTGGTGATATCTGGACTTAAGACAACACACCGCACATATGCAAGAATAACAGAAGACAATAAAGGGGAAGACGCACCACCAGATGAACTACTTTCACTGGAGAAGCAAATCATCAGGTTCTTCAGCAGTAAAAACATTTCGCTGGATAGTAAAACTGTTGCTGCTTGTTACACAGTGCCGCAAAAACAAAATACAAGCATGGATAAACGGAACAAAAGACCAAATATCATCATTCGATTTGTGAGTACAAAACAAAATTGAACTGCTAAAAGTTGTAAAAAAAACTTAAGGGCACAGGTGTGTTTGTAAATGAGCACCTCACAAAGAAGAATGCAGAAATTGCTTACTATGCAAGGATTTTGAAAAAGGAGAAAAAAATACAAGCCTCACGGACAAGGAATTGTAAAATATTGATCAGACTGAATGGTTCTCCTGAGCAGGCTAAAGTCCTAACCATCAACAATGTTTCTGAGCTGGAGAAATATAGATAAGGAAGAAAAGAGGGGAACAAACAAACTTGGTATCATGGGTTACAGGTTTTTTTGTTTTTGTTTTGTTTTATTTGTTTGTTGTTTTTTTTCCTTCTTTTTTCCCCCTTCTTTTTTTCTTTCTTTTTTTGTTATTTTGTCTGTCTGGTTCTGTACATGTTGATGGAGGTGAACGACATGTCATATAAGCATGGGTGAAAGTACACAGTTTAAGTGTTTTGATTTTAAAGATCACAAGTTTTATGATGTAGAAACTGATATAGACCCAGAGACTAATTTCAGGTATAATACCAAACCTGATTGTGAATATTATTCAGAAGACGGTATTAATGTGGGGCTGGGAGGCTTTTCACTAATTCACTTTAATAGTAGGAGCATGCAAAGCAATTTCTCTAAAATAAAAAGCTACCTTGAAACATCCATCCATCCATCCATTATCTTTACCCGTTTATTCCATTTTGGGTCACGGGGGTTGCTGGTGCCCATGTCCAGCAATCACTGTGCGAGGGGCGGGGTACACCCTGGACAGGTCGCAAGTCCATCACAGGGCCACATAGAGACAAACGAGACAAACAAACATTCACTCTCTCACTCACACCTAGGGACAATTTAGAGTTACCAATCAGCCTAACATGCATGTTTTTGGTCTGTGGGAGGAAACCGGAGTACCCGGAGAAAACCCACGCATGCACGGAGAGAACATGCAAACTCCACCCAGAAAGGCCCCTGGACCGGGGTTTGAACCAAGGACCTGCTTGCTGAGAGGCAGCAGCTCTACCAGTTGCGCCACCGTGCTGCCCACCTTGAAACATTTGACCAGAAATTTAGCGTGGTAGCAATCTCAGAAACCTGGATCACTGAAGGAAATGAACTGTTGGATGGTCTAGATGGATATCAAATGTTTGGTCAGAATAGGTTTAAATAAAAGGGGAGGTGGTGTTGCACTGTTTATTAGGTCAGGACTGAAATGTAAGGTTATTGCTAAAATGACATTTTCAGTTGATAACTTGATGGAATGTTTATCTGTTAAAATTGAGGGTAACAGATCTGGATATATGTTAATTAGTTGTGTTTATCGAACTCCTGGCTCATGCATAGATGAGTTTAATAAGAAAATATTAGAGATGTATGAGAGGTATAATGAAAAGTTTACTTTTATTTGTGGAGACTTTAACATTGATTTATTGAAATACAATGAGCACATCAAAACAAGTGAATTTGTCAACACAATGTTTGGTTTAGGTTTCTATCCATTGATTTTAAGACCTACTCAAATAACCAAAGACAGTGCTTCATTGATTGACAATATTTTTTATAAATAAGTTCAATGTGAAAACAAAGAGTGGATTGTTGATAACTGATATTACTGATCATTTGCCAGTGTTAACTGTGTTGGATACTAGTAATGAGTTTAATCTAAATATGACAAAGCCAAATTCCAATTTAGTTAGAGTTAAATTACCTGAAGCTGTGGAAGCAATGAAAGCTGAATTATTAAATTATAATTGGCAAAACGTTTATGTTGATGATGTTAATGAGTCCTATAATACGTTTTTGGAAGTATTTGCAAGAATCTATAATCATCATTGTCCCTTTAAAGAATACAGTCATCAAAAAACAGATCGACTCCCTGGATGACAAGGAGTTTGGAAAAGTCATGTAAAAAGAAAAACAAGTTATATAAAGATTTTATTAGGTGCCCAATCCAGGAAAAAGAAGAAAAATATCAAATATATAAAAACAAATTAACATCAGTGCTGAGAAAGCAAAAACGGTAT